GTTTCCTCCTCTTTGCCATCTCCTGCACAGAGAGGGGAGATGTCAGCCCGGGCCCAGGGCCGGCAGCAGCGCCGGGGGTGGGGGTGAACTGGACACAGGCCTGACCCCCACAGCCCGCCCAGCGGCCGGAGCGACCTGGTCCCCGCCGGCTTCCGAGCGAGCCAAGGGATGTTGAACAAACAAAAGCGGCATCTGGAAGAAGTGCACAGCAGCTCCTCACCGCCCTGTATGCAAGCAGCTGGCAGGTCCCTGTCCCCGCAAGTCCCTTGCTAAGACTCACTTCTGCTGGGAAGCTCATCAGCCGCCTGGGCACTGAGGGCCGGGGGGGGTCACGCACCCAGCGGGGTCAGTGACAACCACAAACCGCCCCGGGCAGCTCCTCCATACAGCGCCGCGCCACAGCGGAGCCAGGGCCGATAAACTTCCATTTCCGAGCCAGGAGCTGGGCACCCTGCCACATCGGCCCAGCAGGTAGGGGACTTAGGAGCCACTTGAAGCCACGCAAAACAAAGCAGCGCTGTTAGCTGAGGAGGAACCTCCGCCGCCTGCTCCAAGCTGCTGCTGCGGTGCCTCACTCCTGCCAGGATGCAAGCGATAAGCAGGCAGGACTGCTGCTGTTCCACTCCCAAGGAGGCTGTTTGCTATTTGATTTAGAGCAGGTGTAGCCAGCCTGTGGCATGGGCAGACTGGGGAGGGGACAGGAAGCATGGTGGCAGATAGGGCCTGGAGCAGAAAAGCAAGCATCTGACGAGGCAGGCACCAGAAAGCAGAGCAGTGGCTTGATCAGGAAGCATAGCACGGGGAGCAGAAAACTGAGGAGGAGCTGGGGTAAGGGAAAGGGACTGGAATGGGGCATTTGCAGGCTGTAAATCTGGCAATTCTGCTTCAACAGCTCCCGTTTTGGGCTGATATTTGGGAAACACTTTTTTACTGAACATTTACTGATCCAGTTTTATCCTTGCACCCAGGCCTCTAGACCTAAGCATTCACTTCCTGCTGCTGGTTCCACACGTGTGAACAGAACCATGTACAGCCCCTGCAGGCACCCAGCTGATACTGTGTGTTTGGGGGAAAGAACTGGGGTCCCCACAATGCGAGTGGCTTCTGCAAAGGTAGGGCAGTGTTGCCACTGTTGCTTGACAGCTAGACTTTGTGGAACTGCCTTGCATGTAAAAACTGGGATGTTGCCTCTAATGAATAAACTGGAAATGTCCCTTTAGTTGAGAAGTGCAGATGAATATTCAGCCCTGCAAGAGAAACAAGAAAGACTGAACCCACTGACATAAAGCAAGGGTATCAGCAAGCCAACATCAGAAATGGAGGGAAAGATGATCTCATGTTGCATTGACCTCTGAGTGAGATGGAAATGCAAGTCAGTTACTCTGAGGCAGCTAGAGACAGCCTGCTCTCCTTCCTAGCAAAGAAAAAGACCCCAAACCACTTCTGAATACTCAAGGGTTTCTGCCAGAGAGGGCGATGCTGAATAGGAAAGTTCTCTGAAATGAGTCACCGGTAAGGAGTATACCACTAGAACCTGCTGTACACAAAAAGGGAAAAATGCAGCACAGCAAAACTCTGAAACCAGATCTGTCTAATGGAGGTATTCAAGTGCATCCGACATTACACAGAAGAACAGAGTGCTATGCAGTGAAGCATTGAAAATGCTGCAAAATGACCTAGTGCTAGCGCAGGGCATTCTTCCACACAAAAGGCTGATAGGGGCCCCCTTTAGGGAAGTCGAATGCAGCTGATGAAACACTGGATAGTTATGACAGCATCACATCAGATGGCTGGCAATAATGCAGACTCTTCACAACATACCTGTGGGAGTATGAGAACCTATGCACACGTGCATAGTATTTCTTGGAGTTCAGCTAAGGAGTTGTTAAACAAGACCTTGAAGAAAACCAGTGGCTTCAAATAGCAAGAACTAAAACAGCAAAAATTCTTTCAGCCTGCAGTACCATCCCATGTAAAATAACATTCCCAATGGGTAAAGCATTTCAGAAGACAAGAAAACCCCCTGTTAATGCAACTTTTATTAGCAAATGCACAGTATCTGAGCATCTAAAAAGAAGTCAGCACATTCCAGCATTAACTCAAATCTCACTGTCATCACGCCCTACACTGCACTCTGAATTTCCCTTTCATACAGTGAGAACCTTTGGGTACATAAAAGCACAGAAACAGGAAAACAAAGTATGTACAGAAGGTTTCCTGCCAACTAAGAGGCCTACACTTTTTCGAGATTAGCAATGCTTTGTTCATTTGTCTTGGCAAGTGATATCAAAACACCTTGTGCTTTAAAATAATAATAAAAAAATACTAAAATATTCACAATATAAACTTAAATACATTGCTTTTTGTTTTTCTTTTTTTAAAAAGCATGTTAATAGCCATTGATTTATCACAGCTGTTCCAACAGAATCCCTGTTAATGAAGCACTAAGAACGTGAGGTTCACATTTTGTACTGCATATGGTCGGAGTTTCACACGCTGCCACATTAGCATGATTGTGCCACTGCAAACCTTATGGCAGAGTTCAACTGCAATGTGCCCCACTGACAAGATGTGGCAGAGGCATGGGAAAAAAAATGCCAACATAAAAGAAGGCTGCCACAGACCTACCACTGAGGTCATTTCCACATACTAACACTACCATGGTGATGTGTAAATAGATGGCAATGACTACTGCTTTTGTGACACCTCCCTTCTCCACAAATAACTCTTTCTTAACACACACTTGCATTAACATGAGTCAATCATTGACTAAAGCGTCTGAAAAGAAAAAAGCTAATGGGTTAGATTCCTCTCTAGTGTAACACTGCAGCATTACATGCCCAAGAAGAATCGGTCCCATTGTGCATAAGAGTGCAAGCTTTCTACAAACATGGAAGACAGCAAGAGGGCTGGACTTTCTAAAGGAGAATTTAACCCAGCCTAGGACAATCTTGGTAACACAAAGTATGAAATTTATATGGGTGCTCAAAAGCCAACAGGACCAAAGTTAACCTCACATGTTGAACTGCAGTGCAACTCAGGAGACTGGCCCCTTGAGTTTTGCTTAATTGCATTCTCACATTGGGATTAAAACACAGCAGAAGATGAGATGGTGATAATATCTTTGCCTCTCTCCAGCACATTTCATTAAAGGAAATCAAAGCCCTCTGCACACATTCTATTAATCCTCACAGCAGCCCTTTAAGGTAGGCCCAATATTGGAGACGTTTTACACCTAAAAAACCCGAGGCACAAACTGAGGAAATAACTTTCATAATGGGGTTCGGTGAAGAGTCAGAAACAGAGCACAGAAACCTTACTGCCAGGTTCCTGATTAGCCACAAGACATAGTGCCTTCATGAAACAGGTCCCAGAAAAAGAGAAGCCTATGTGGATCTCTCTCTCAAAATAAATCCTCACCGTTGTGATTAAACAACAGGCCTTAGATTTACCAAGAAGCACTAATTACTAGGGTCAAGATCTCAAGATTCTGATTAGTTAGAAGTGCACCATCACATTCTGAAACATCTTTTCTAATTCAGAGTCAAATAGCTCTGAATCAGTCTTAAATCATTGCTTAAGGCAGCTTTGTGCTAACCAAATGAGAAGAGACATGCCCATCCTTCACAGCCTTTTGGAATAAAAGGCACTGAACTTAATATGCTCTCTATATATTCTTCTCTCATTAAAGACTGTTGGCAGCACTAAGTTGAGGGAAGGCATAGTCTTGAGGTCCATCACAAAGGCAGAGAACACAAGGCTGCAAAGGAATGGGAAAGGAGTGCTTTCTTTTAAGCAGGTGCTGGCATCCCACTAAACATGGTTTTTGGAAGCAGACCCCAAACACTTGCCAAGCCATAAATTTGGCCTGAAAAATTGAGGGGGCAAGAACTCATTCCTTAGCAAGAAGCACTGTAAACACAATTCCCCTCCTCACTTAAAAAGCAGACTTGAGCTTGAGGCTGAATGTCACCACCTCCTATGTTACTTCTCTTACTTGTTAAATGGAGTTTGAGTTCAGATTTAGCTCAGAGATAGGTACAGATGCTAGCATCTAAAATCTAATACAGGGAATGAACAGATGACTCCTGCTTCCAGTTTAGCCAAAGGGTTCACAAAAGGATTACCCTCATCAGAGATCCAGGGGAAAATGCTTCTGCCCTAAGACCTTTCACTACATGGTGCCAGTTAACTTGTCTTCAGCTGAGGGGATCCCTCCAGGCCAGCACCCACTTTTATGCTGCTTCTCTTCACTTTCTGGTCACTGTTGCTGAAATTGGTTCAAGGACACTTGGGACTTTCACTTAAGATAGGTTTGTTCCTTTCTAAAAAAAAAAATTAAAAAAAGGCCAAGATTTGGTACCTACAGATAGCCAAGCAGCAGTTGTCCCTGAACTGAAATGGGAAGTCAGTGTTACATGTGTATCAATTAGATCAGATCACCCAGTTCAGGTGTTGGAGTCACCAGCATCTACTGGATGTCATTAAGGGTGCTTGTAAGCTACAGCAAAGAATCCAGGGGTACTTTCTCTTGAAAGTACAAGTTCCTTTAAGAACAGACCTACAGACTTTAGAACAGTCCCAGCAAATCCCTACCAAGCATTATCCCAATTTTAACTCTGAAAACAGGCGGGGCCTCAGGCCTGAGCTAGAGAGCTAATATTGATCTGATAAAGTTTTAACTGGTAGCAGAGTTGTACTTGGTAGCCGTGCTGGTCTGAGACAAAAAGACATACAAAAAACTAGAACTCTTGGTTCCAAAATGATACCTTTTTTTTTTTTTGGTAGGGTCGGAAGGGACCTGAGCAGATTATCAAGTCCGATCCCCTGCCATGGCAGGAAAGAGTACTGGGGTCAAACAACCCCAGCGAGGTGTTCATCTAACCTCCTCTTAAAGACCCCCAGGGTAGGAGCCAGCACCACTTTGCTTGGAAGTTGGTTCCAGATCCTAGCCGCCCTGACAGTGAAGTAGTGGCTCCTGATGTCTATCTAGTCTGAATCTACCCTCTGCCAGCTTGTGACCGTTATTTCTAGTCACTCCTGGTAGTGCTCGGGGGAACAGGGACTCCCCCAATGCCTGCTGGTCCCCTCTGACTAGTTTGTAACAGGCCACTTTACTAGACCAACTGGAAAATGGCAAGAAAATTGTCCTTTTCTGCAAGCTTTCGGGATCGAAGTCCCTTCGTTAGGCTCTGGGAAAAGTGTAGATGGTACAAGATGGTAAAAAGTCAGCTCCCTCTATGCAAAAATGAAGTTTATTTCCTACCTATGGGGACTTTTTATCGTCTTGTACCATCTACACTTTTCCCAGTGCCTGACAAAAAGGGACTTTTTTCCTGAAAGCTTGCAGAAAAGGACAATTTTCTTGCCATTTTCCAGTTGGTCTAATAAAAGGTATCATTTTGGAATCAAGAGTTCTAGTTTTTTTATATGTCTTAACTGGTAGCAGATTTTTTTAAACCTAATTCCTATTCAAATACAGCTGCCCATGTTGCCCAAGAGACTGAGTCTTCATGGCTGTGTCCAGACGAGTGTGGATGTGTGGTATGTGTTGCCACAGACCCATCTTCGGCACCACACACCACACATGCAGGTGTTCCCTGTGCTGCAACCTTGTAGCTGGTGGGGAAGGGGAGAGGTGTTGACCCCGAGATTTCCTGGGGTAAAAAAAAACCATGCTGAAAAAAGGAGAGGCATAGCATATGGTGGCAGCGTGCACGCCACCCAAAACCGGAGCCTGGCCAACCGGAGCCACACTCTAGCTGCCAGGGTGGCTGCAGCTCCAGAAGGCCACCAGGATCCCAGGTAAGGCTGCTGGGGCCAGCACAGTTGCTGGCTCCAGTCTCCCCTATCCTACCTTGGGTTACCTGCTGTGTGTCACTGCTACTTGTCCCCAGCAAAACAAGTGCCTGTGCTCGTCTGGATGCAGCCCATGAGTTTAAAATTATCTTCAGAGACAGAGAGAGAAATCTGGCTGAAACCGGTATTTCAAGCATACAGCCTCTCAGATCCCCCTGCCTCTGGGAAGGGCATGAGATGCAACAAAAAAGATCTGATACTTGTTAGCATTTGGAGCTGGTTATCTCCTCAGTGCTTTCCAAGCAGACAGCCTCACAATACTCTGTGAAATAGGTTAGTATATTCAACAGACAGGGTAAATGATGCACAGAGGTTAAATGATTCACCTAAGGCCACAAAAGGAGTCTGTGTCAGAGCTGAGATTAGAAGGCAGGAGGTTCCTGCCTCTTGGATCCTTTCTCCCTCTCTCTCCCCCCTCAACACTCCCTTCCTCATTCAATTTTTAATAGACTTAGACCAACAAGAGAAGGAGCTATGGTGCCACATACTTTTGACAAAGAGGACTCCCAATATTATTTCACATGCTCAGAAAAGTACACTGGATAACTGAGTACCTTGGAATTAAAGCTAGGATGATGGCACACATTGTTAAGGAGCCAATATACAATAGAAACCTAACTTAATAAATAAGCATAGACATGCAGCCACAATTGCCACGGAGCAAAGAAGAGTCCTCAGCTCAAAAAGGTCCCAGACCACAAAGAACACACCCATATCACGCCTGTGACTCGACTGCCACACCAACTAGTGCATGTCTGATGGTGCGGCCATGGAGCTTATAGCCATCCTGAGTCACTAGTGCCACCATGCCTGGCTGCATTCCCTCTGCCGGTACGTGGCAAACTATTTCATGGTCATACGGATCATATTTGTCACCAACAGGGTTCATCTTCTGAAGGCCATGTTTGGCAAACACACTTTGCAATTTGGCCTCAATGAGAGACAGGCCTTCGCAGATCTTCTGGAGGGTTGGGTTGGGATCGCTGGGCTCTGTAGCACTCTCTGTTGTCTTCTCCAAGATATCTGCTATCTCAACGAGGTCCCTGCAGAAACTCTGGATCCCTGCAGGCACACACACAAATAGACAAGAGGTTAAGTAATATCAGTTCAGTGGCAGGAAGTGCAAGGCTACATCAGCCCTGGGCATGCTGCCACAGGACTCTGAAAGGTTTGAAAGGTTATGACCTCATGCTGAAAACTGCTGATTTTGGAGCTGAAGGGACTTAACGTTACCTGAAATCTTCTCCAGCTGTTGGCTTTAGTATTGTATAATGCTGAAGAGGGAAAGACAAGACTCACAGAGACCACGATAATGAACTGTATATACACCCAGCCAGATAAAAAGGTACGCGCAACACTCACATTTGGTAAGGCACAGATATTTTGTTTAAAAAACCCTCCTAACCTAGGATGTTTCAAGTTAGAACTCAAGCAGCTACAGGGAAACAGGCACAGTGGAAGGATGAAACGTTTGTTGCCATTTAGGAAAGCTGGTTCAGTTTGCAAACATTCTGGGCAGCAGCATGCTCATCTCGCAAGATTGTTCTCAGGAATAAACCTGATGCAAGTACAGTACAAAAAACCTGGCCCTCGAAGTTGTCAGGCCTGTTAACTAATATAACAGTAAGGAATAAGATACCTGTTGGGAAAAACGGAAGAGAGCAGCAACAATTAAACAATCTACACCTGCACAGACCAACCCATGTGTCTGTGAAGAAAGCCATGGGGTACAAGGCAAGAGTTGCACAGGAGCAGCCACGGATCCATCTAATCCAGCAGTCCATAGGGTTATCCCTTGCTTTACTGAATGCCACGTCTTCCACATTGAGCAGTTCCTAACATGAAGACCCTTTGCTAATGCCCTTATAATCTAAAAGGATACAGCAGCGCAAAAAGTTGAGCAGTTCAGTAGCAGCAACACCGTACATAGACCTGAATTCAGCACCATTTCAGAGCAGAGCAGATCATGAAAGGAAAATACAGAAACTCTATTGCAAAAAAACTTTAATAACCCTCTGGCAAGTGTTAAGTAATGAGCAGGGATCCTGTTTGTCTCTATTTAAAAATCCAAAATTCTCTGATCAAAACCCCCAAATCCCCATTTTTCCACAATTAAAATGAAACACCATTATATATATAGGTATTGGTTGAACACAATGTTTTATTGATATATCTATAATTTTCAAGCAAATTGGAAGTCTACCAGTGCCTTAATAACTATAATAAAATAAATTCTATATAACTATAAATTTGGGGATTTGATTTTGTTTTTTTAATCACAGAAAACCAGAGCTCCCTATGCTCCATATGCTCACCAGGGTGCAGGTCCAGCTGTGGCTGTCCTCCCCACTGCTTTGTGGTGCTGAGCAGCCCTGATATGCCAGTGCCCCTCACTCCTAAGCCACAGCCCTGCCAGTGCCCCTCACTCCCAACCTGCAGCCCCTGTCCCCGCCAATGCCTTTCACTCCCAACCCACAGCCTCTGCCCCCAGCCCTGCTGGTACCCACCATTCCCAACCCGCTGCCTCCCATCCCCAGGCCTCCCAGAGTCTGGGGCAGGGTTGAGTGTGTGGGGCAAGGGGGGTGCCTGACTACAGGCAACACCATAGGTGATGTGTTGTGGGGGGGAATGAGGGGATACATGCCTCCTACCCCAGATCTGTGTGCCCACAGAGGGCACGGAGCTGCAGCCTGGCTAGATGGGCATGGGCAGAAGCCACTTCTGTGGCCCAATGGACAGGACCTGGGATGGGAGGGTGGAGCGGGGTGGCGAGACTCATTGCCACTGCAGCTGCCAGGACCCCGCACCAGTCATGTGAGGAGTAACAAACCAGGCGGTGGGGAGAGATCAGGGACAGGGGGAGCTCCGCTGCCCTCACCTTCTCCTGTTACCAGCTGCTCACACACTGAACCATGGCTCTACTCTGCTGCCATGGCTTGGCCACGGCCCCTGGTTCCCCCAGGCTGCCTATGCTGGCCCCCCCCCCGACCTACCCTCTGAAGTAAAGCCATGGTGGTGCCTAGGCCACGGCAGGGGGTAGAGCCATGGCCTGGAGCATAAGCAGCTGGAGGAGGTGAGGGCAGTGCCACCTTCCCCCCCTGCCCCAGTCTGTGACTCCTCACACTGCTGGCAGCATGCCTGGTGCAGGGGTCCCAGCAGCGGCAACAAGTGTCACTGTCCCACTCTGCCAGGTCCCACCCACTGGACCATGGTGGCAGCTCCTGCCCATGCCTGTCTGACCAGGCTGTAGCCCCTTGCCCACTATGGATGTACAAATTTGACACATCACTTATGCCACCCGCCCCTTCATGTCATGCCTATGCCACACCCCCAACGACTTACCTGAAAGGAGCTACAGGAGCTGCTCTCCACCACGCTGCCTGGCTGCCATGTATGTGTGCACATGCATATGCACATGGCCCCTGCCTATGATCACCCTCCTCCCACTCCCCACCAGCCCCAAGCAGCCCCTTGCAGGCTGGAACTCTGCCAGCTCAGCCTGCAAGGGGAAATCCATGGTTTCCTGTATTTTTCCCCTTTAAAGGAGAAAATCTGTGTTTTTCCATGGCAAACAAAACACAGATCCCTGCTAATGAGAAAGCTAAAGGAAACTTCTGAGACAATACTAGCCACAGAATATTTGGTTTTAATCAAAGATCAGTTGTGTTCTGGAGCTGCTATCATTTGATGTGAAAGGAGTTGGTGGATTCAGCCTGGTACCAAGTGGAGTGGTGTCTACATCACATAACCACAAGGAGCATTCTTGATGACTGTCTAACCAGAAATGGGTCAGACTGAATGCACCATGGAGTCTAGACCATCTTCTCAGCCCTGGATGCAATGCTCCCACAGAAGGGCTAAGGCACATTGAAAGGGCAGGGAGGGGTGCTTATACTGCTATTCTCATGCGTACCCACTCTATGGATAAATTACACATGCTCTGGGACTATCAATCCAGGCCGTTTCACCACTGCTACACTTACTCAAAATATTTCCAGGAAGAGCCTATCGAATTTCAACTCAGGTTGTGCTACATCATTAATTTTAGTGTGGAGGGAATGGGATGGACAGGAATTCAATACCGTAAGAGAGATCACAGCTCAATGCCATTGTAGAGAGCATGAAACAAACTCTAAGTGCCAATTCTCAGCTAGTGTAAATCACAATTTCAATTAAGCCAATGGAGTATGCTGATTTATAGAAGCCGAGCTGCTAACATTCATAGGGTGGAATGTTTACTATTGGGAATGACATTATAAAAGACTTTTGAAGAATCCGTCATGGAGATAAACCCCTAGGGTGTGGTCAAATATACAGAGGCAACAGCACGCAAACTCAGACACTCAGCTTAGGCCAAATAAGGCCTTTACAAATGAAAAAGGCCAGGGAGAAAGGGAGAGTAGGTGATCAGCACTTTCTTCTCTGGTACCTAACTGTGCTATGCCAGGCAAGCCATGCTGAGGCAGACGTAGCTGCTCAATTCTAGCCTTGCTCTGCTTACCAAACAGTTTGGCATCTTCCACAAATTTCTGGGTCCTCCTCCGGACATTTTCAGAATCCGCCAAGGCTTTTCGGTATCGTTCCTGCATGTACAGCAACAGGCAGAGGCATCAGACACGCCAAATGGACTTACTTATTGTAAGTTTGCTTTCCTCTATAGACTATTTAAAATGTATACCCTTCACAAGTTGCAAGCTCATGCTGGCCACCCAGGTCTCATTAGGGGGGGGGTGTGTGTGTGTGTGTGTGCGCGCGCGCGCACATGCGCACACACGGCCTTCAAATTGTCTGGCAGAAAGTGCTCCTCAGCAAAGTGGCAGAAGGACCCTGAGTAGGCTCAGCATCATCATGCAACAGACCACCAAGATGTTTTTTCATGATCAGGCTGTTGCTTTTCCATCATTTTATTTACAACACCTAGTTGACTCTTTCCTGGAGGTCTTAGCAATGAATCTGTAACCAGCTTATGTTGATAAATTACACTGCTGTCAGGGCAATCAATTCATGAAAAGCCCTGTCTCAGTATCTTGCTTTCCTTTCACCTTGTTTATGCTTATGTAGTCACCACTACAACTACACCAAATGTTAGCAAAGGTGGGACTCCTATCATAGATGAACTCCCTCCTAAGGCCTAGTAGTCACCAAGCTAACAGGACCATCACGACTCCCAGAAGACAAAGACAAAACGATTGCATCTCTTAACTGTGAAATGCTGAGACCAGAATCTCTTAATAAAGACCACTGTTTGTCATCCAGGATCACACTACATTTTCCAGTCAGTTTGGTTTCCTGCTTTCAGCAGCAGCCAACACCTGATGCTTAGGAGAACAGCAACTTTGCTAAATGTGCATTGTCTCCTAGTGTGCATGTTGTATCTGGTCACCACCCTGTTACTTCTAAAAACCTGCATTTCAGTTGTGCTGTGTATACAGTATGGAGTTGGTGGAAATGTTTGGAATGGAATAGTAAAATTCAGAAGGAGAATAAGCCTTCCTACTTTTAAGGGACTAAGCCAAGGATGCAGTGGTGCCTTGGCCAAGATGACACCAGCTACTGCAAACTCACCGTTAGGTCACGGACTTGTTCTTCTAGTTTGATGGCTTTGTGCTCTAGGGTGCACTCTGAAAGAGGATGCCTTGGCTCATCACAGGGATCTTCTGGGCCACACTCATCTCCAGTGCTCCTCTGCTGGGCTGCAGTGCTGAAGGCACACAGGGAACCTCTGAAACATGGCAATGGGACAGTGAGTTCTGGGTTACTTTCCTTTCTAACAGGAGAACAGATATGGACAGCAGATGTTATACTGTGCTACTTAAATATGGAATGGACACAGATCCAGCCTCAATGGGGATATATGAACTGGGTTTAAATGTAGTAAGCTGCATCTAGCTTGTATAATAAGCAGAAGTAATCTAGGTAGGTGAAGTGAACAACAAACCTTCAACCTACAACTTTACAAACTTATAACCACAAAAACCGTCATATTAGTGCCACTAGTATCTTGTTCATACTCCCTTTCCTGACATGTTCTTAGTAGAAGTTGAGGAGAAAATATAAAGCACTCTTCTAAATGCACCTGCCCAGTTGCATCTCATTTATTTGGGTCCAACATTTGCTTCCAATTTCTCAGCCTGACTGAATTCAGTTGACTGTTTAAGAATCAAATTTATTTCTGACAATGAAATAAAGCAGTGCAGCTTTTCCCAGCACAGGTGATTAAGTTGCAGTCATGAATGGGATGGTAAATTCTAATGGTATTTTTTTGCATGGGAGCTCTTGATCATTCTTCAGATAACTAGCATTTCTGAATGCAATTAACATTATCAAGCCTATATCACTTCAGAGATATTTGCAGGCACAGGCACAGCAGAGCGCAATATTATGGGGGTATGTCGGCTGGTGACCACACACCAGAGTGCACTCAAGCTAGCTGACCCATCTATATTTGTGGACTTCAGCCGCTGAATCCTAGAGACAAGGAAGGAAACGTATACAGGAGACCCTTGCCATTCGTGGGGGATACGTTCCGGAGATCCCCACGAATGGCGAAATCCATGAATACTGACAGGGCTCCCTGTCAGACCCCACAGCTGCTCTCTGCTCCCCCCCACATTGTTCACGGTGCTCCCCCACAGCACTTGGGGACTGACCCCTTTTCCCCCCGAGCTTCCAGGGGAGAAGATGCCACCGCCACCTCCCTCCATGTCCCCAGCGCTCACTCTCTAGCCGCCTCCCACCTCTGCCCTCCCCTGCAAATATCTGAATCCGTGAACCTGAAGTTCATGAATAGCGAGGGTTTCCTGCATATACAATTTTTCTCAGTTCCCCAGCTCTGCTCCTCCTCACAGATGGACTGACTCACTAGCTGGCTGTCTCCATACTTGCACCCGTTTCCCTTAGCCTGTTGATCTTCTCAGGGCACCTCTTAGGTACCTGGTACATTCCTTTCCTAAATGAGCCCAATAATGAACAACTTGTTCCACACAGCAATAGCTGCTAGACCAGGGACGGGCAATTATTTCAGGTGGAGGGTCACTTACTGAGTTTTGGCAAGCCATTGAAGGCCACATGACAGGCAGCCAGGGGCAGATAAATATTAATTTTCTAATTTTTTTAGGGGCCCCACGGGCTGGATAGAATGGCCTGACAGGTCGCATCTGGCCCGCGGGCCGCATTTTGCCAGCCCCTGTGCTAGACACTGCCTGGCCTCCAGTTCCAGCCACACAAAGGTCAGTTACAAGCCCTGCACTTCAGGGAATCACACATACTGCGTGGGCATCCTGCAAGGGAACCTAGCTGAGCCTCAGAGTCTAGAGACAATAGCTGAATTTGTTAAGCTAGAAAAATAGCCTGTCCTGGCAGAGACAGAGGAGCTGAATTTGTCCCAACTGGAAGCTGCCACCTCACTAAGAAACCTCAGCTGAACATGGTGGCAATAAGCAGGAATCCTAAGGGCAAATGCAAAGCAAATACTGACCTCAGAATTGAAATGACAGAACTCGTAAGCCAAGGAACTGGATTAAGCTGTACAAAGATCAGCTGAGTACAAGGAGTTTGGCCTAACACTGCAACTCCCAAAAAAGAATTAAAAGTCAATCAAGTTACAAGATATTCAGTCTTCAGTATTCAGAAACAGTCTTCTTCCAGGCCACAAAGGCCAGGTACAGACATTACACTTCTATTGGCACAAGTGATCGGAAACTGATCTATATCCATAATGGAACAGAATGGCACACAAAACTGGTCTATAGCTGTAACAGAACAGAAGTTTGGCATGCAAAAACTGGTTTAAAATGGCAGAACCCGGTCTAAGA